ATAGTATGGTGTACAAATCTTTGTGTTTCATTAATTTTTTCACAAATCTTTGTGTTTCATTAATTTTTTCACAGCTAGATTATTGCAACTCCCTCTACTTTGGAATTGAGAAGTCACTATTAAAAAAACTGCAGTCTGTTTAAAATTGTGCAGCAAGACTGGTTTTTAAAACCAGAATAGAAAATCAAATAAATGACCGGGTATTTATCAATTTTCATTGGCTTAAAATTAGAGAAAATCAATATATATATATATATATATATATATAATGATTTTCTCTAATCACAATATACAATCACAATATATATATATATATATATATATATATATATATATATATATATATATATATATATATATATATATATATATATATATATATATATATATATATATATATATATATATATATATATATATATATATATATATATATATATATATATATATATATATATATATTTATATATGTATATATTTATATATATATATATATATTTATATATATATATATATTTATATATATATTTATATTTATATCTATATTTATATATGATGTAGCAATACTCACTTTTAGCAGACGGCTTTAAGATATCGAATGTAGCAATACATGCATGGAGCATGTTTTAAAAATATATTTTAACAAAACAAAAACACTATTAATTAAAATAACTTTCTAGCCATTGCAGTTTTTAAAAAAATACTAAAGCTTAATGTACTTCCGCATTATTTTAATTGTTTTAACTTTTAGACGACATTAAAATATAGCTTAATTGTTGAAGTCGTGTAATTATTGTTAAAAGAGACTTTTTTACCATAAAAGTCTCTTTTGACTATGATATGAGTATATATATATATATATATATATATATATATATATATATATATATATATATATATATATATATATATATATATATATATATATATATATATATATATAATAATTTTTTGATGATTAAATGAATGTTAAAAAAAGCCCCATCAGTTGTGCTATGGATACATTTATTTTGGGGAGATTTTCAGAGTAAAAAGTGGGTCAGTTTTGATTACATTGACAGTACAATAAACTTTATATTAATGAATAAAAATTTTACGCTGATCAATATTTATATATGAGCTATGGCTTAAAAACCTTGTTTTTTAAGTGTAATTTTGATTTAGCATTTTTGCAACTCAAAACTTTGTTTTTGAATTGTAATAACCTTTTACTGCTCGATAATTTCATTATTTTGTTTTCAAAAGAATTGTTTTTAATTGAATGTTTTCATATAATGATTTTGTATGAGTGAAATAATTTAATTTTGCTCCAAAAAAAATTTCATCTAATTAAACTAAAAAAAAAATTAAGCTGTTCGTGTATTATGAAAGCTAGGCTTTGAAAAAGATAGTTATGTCAAAGTATATGAAAAAGGTCTTTAAGCATTTGTTCAAATAAGCGAAAAATAGAATTAAAACAAACTATGCAGGTAATAATTTGTTCAAGCATCCATTTTTATAAAAAATATTTTTAGCACTGTTTATCAAAACACATTTATAGTTAATGCATTTAAACTTCACATTTATAAATCAATGCAAATTTTCAGAATCATTGTTAATTATATTATTTTACAATCAACTATTGTGAACTATACAAATTTATTTTTAGTTTGTAATTATATTTATAACAGAAAAATGTAAAATAAATGTAAGTAAAGTTTTACCCTGTTAATTTGAATTTGAACATTATTTTATTGAAGATGTTTAAAAAAATGTTAGGTGCTCAAAGAAAAAGTTTAGCCAAAGACTCTGAAGGAGTCATAAAGTTTTAAAGACATTCTTTTCTTTCTTCAACTCATTAAAAACATCTATTGAGACCTCTTCTCAGTCTCAATCTAACCAAGAGTAGTAGTTCAAATTCTTCAGCTAGTTTTATCACATATTCATTGTAGTTAAAAATCTTTGAAAGTATCAAAGATCCAATACCTTTCCTGAAGAGCAATAAAGAATATCCTAAAATCGAAAAACAACATTTCTCAAATAAATTTTGATAGGTAGGATAGCAAAAAATGTGTAGTAAGCTAGACTTAAACAACTGTAGAGGTCAAGGCTATGACAACAGGTCCATTATGATTGCAATTCGAAAAGATGTTTAAGCTTGAATTTTAGCAGAATACCAACAAGCCTCATTTACATCCTGTGATTGCCACAGCTTGAATGTAGTTATATTAGACAGCTAAATCATCTGTGAAGTCTATATTGTTGTTTGGAGTTATTCAAAGAATCTATACAATATTTTCTCGGTTTGTTACTTTCCTAATACAGAAGAATCTTTCAAAAATGAAATTTTTAAGCTCCTAACTGACACAATTAAATCATCTTTAAAAGACAGAATGGACAAGTTCTCCAAATACGAGTCAGTGGGGATTCCTACTTGACCTGAAAAAACTACCACCAAAGGACAAACTTAAAGAGGATTATTAAAAATTAACAAAAACGCCTGGCTGTGCAAAACATTTCACATATAAATGGGGAAGAACTGTTCAATGAAAGTTCTACAAGTCAGTTTGGTTACTAATGTTTTTAACAAATGTTATGAGCAAAAGCAAAAGATGGCCAACAAAACACTATTAACATTAGTACTCAATATAATCAAAAACACTGACAGAAAAGACCTGTTTACTAATCTTTGGATAGCACTACACATATTGCTGATAATTCCAGTGACAGTGGCCAGCAGTGAATATAGTTTTAGCATGTTTAAGTTAGTTAAAGTCTACCTACGTGCAGCAGTGATGCAAAAAGGATTGACCTTGCTTGTAATACTCTATTTGATTTCCTTAACTTATTAAGATTCTATAGTCGAATGTATACAAATTTATCTTTATGGTAGATTGGTAGGTGGTGTAAGTATTAAAGTATTGATGGCAGCACAAAAACTTATATATGTGACTATTACTGGAGGAATGGTGGCACCACAACTATGTTTGCCCCGGGTGCCACATACCCTATTGATAACCTTGTCTACATTCATTACCTTCTGGTGTTGTGTCAGTCAATGGTAAAGATATTGGGAGTTACTAAAAATAGAGAATAGAGTTAAAGAACAAGGAGTTAATAAAAGACCTGAAAAGTTGTAGGTTGTATGAATCAAGAAAGTATAAAGATGGAAAGAGTTCCAAAGATATGAAGGGATGCGGGGAATAAAAATTGATAAATAAAAGTTTTTAGAGCATGCAGGGACAAATATGATAAGTCAAGCAAGAATGAGTTTTGATGGATGGAACTAGAGATGATAGTTCCTTTGAGCAGCAACCATGATAGTATTTGTAGAAAAGAGAAGAGGAGCAATCAGCCTAATATAACAACAATAGAACCAGCCTAAATATGACAACAATATTCAATACAGGAACGGATAAGATATTTGTAGAGGTAGATAATAAAATCAGGAATAAAAAAATGGTGAGCACGATAAAGAGAAGTAACCTTAGCAGATGCAAGTTTAGCAATCGATTGTTTATATGATTTCAATAAGAGGTCAGCAGTGAATGATAATTTAGGAAGATGTAAAGAAGAGGACTCAGGGAAAGGGCTGTCATTCATCAATATAGGAATTTTGACAGTATTGCAATAATAACTGTAAATAACTGAGTTTTGTTAGAGTTAAAACTCACAAGTTGGTGCAAATTCCAATCTGTTACAGAAGTGAGATCAGGTTCAAGATTAGCTACCTGCTCTAAGCAATCCAAAAGAGAAAACTTTTTTGCCAGGATACAGGAGTATAAAGTTGAGTCATCAGGGAATTGAGCAACTTTAGATTTAAGATAGGTTTTAATGTTTAGTATTTTAGGTTACTTTGAGGAGGGTTTAAGTTTAAAGAAAAATTGACTTGATTTATAAATAGAGTGCAGCATTCCAAGCAATGATCAATGAAGTTGCTTTAGTCCTGCTAATTAACCCAGAATCATAATTTAGGTGGTCTTGACGATGTCAGTTGTATAAGAAAAAATTATATATTATATATTAAATATAATATAGTATATCAAATATATAATATAAGAGTCTTATATTATATTTAATGGTTATTATAAAGTATTTTCAATATTTTTCATGAACTCATCAGGTGAACAAAATTTAAAGGCTTTTCACAAAGTTTTGTAACTAAATCTTTGAAAGTTGCAATTGAAATTTCACCATGCATTGTTGTTGTGTAGGATACTGATATAGCAGTGATTCTGCTATGTCAGTATCCTACTGCTATGTCAATGAAAAGCTGAACTAAATAATTTTTTTTTTTTTTATCAAGAATGCAAAAAAACAAACTCTGGATTATAAAAGCTGCTCAGAGGTATTCCATGAGAAAGTGGGACAAATTTTTAAGGTTTGTAACCCACCATCTCAGATTTCCTTCATACTTTGTAAAAATGGTCACCTATATAACATAGACTAACTTGCGAAATTTTAGCAATAATATCAAAGAGGTTTTGGAGATATCGTTACTTTAAAATCAACTATTTTTTGCAGTTTTTTTTGTTCGGTGGCCATTTTGATTTTACTATAGTTTTTGTTTTACAAGTTAATGTTTAACTAAACATGTAATTAAGCTGAAAATTAGCACCTTTATAGTTTTTAGGACGAGGAATCAGAATATAATATTTGTTTTTAATGAAAATAATTTGAAGTTTATTATTATTGGGATTGTACTTCACCTATAGCTATTTTTGAAATTTTAACAAAAGCGGAAAAGAAGTCTGGTAACCATGGTAGCATTAATTTTTTTTTAATTTTTTTTAATTTTTATTAAATTAGATATATTAAAGAGTGTTTTGGTACAAAATTGAGAGGTGGGTTTTTTGAGGATTTTTAAAAATAATTAAATGAATTATAATGAAAAAGTACATTTGGATGTTACTTATTAAGAAATTTCTTATTTTGAAAACTTCCATTATAAGAAAAAAAAACCATTAACAAAAGTTAAAATGAAAAATTCATAATAGATGTAATATATTAAGTCAAAATAATCAAACAAATACAAGCTTTAAATAAAAAACTAGTCAATAAAAAACCAGAACTTGCATTTGAATAATTCATAAATTGCTTATAAAAGAAAACTGGTGTATTATGATTGAGTTAATTTAAAAATTGGATTTTATGAAAATCATCTATCTGGTATATGCGCCCTGTTACTTAAAAGCTCTGCTCTATTTGTTGTACTCCATTGTTTGTATTCAATTGTTTTATCTTCATCCACCTATGTCATTCTCTTCAAATGATCCTTCCTTTTGCAATAGATTTGCAGTCATATAATTTATAATATTTTGAATTCCAGGGCATTGATTACATCTATGGACCATGCATTCCCTTGACTCTCTGCTACAAACAATCTTCTCAATAAGTTCATGGTAATTCTTCTCCAGTTTAACTGCGCTAAACATAAGCTTTAGGTTTTGGTGTTTTGCACATATACAAACAGCATAGGTTCCTTTTTGACCAGCATAATAAATACACCATTTTGGCTTTAACTGAGAAAATTTAGAAAATCCTATTTTGGGTTGATGGTGTTCTAGTTTGAATTCAATAAATAATTCCTTTAAATTGCTAAGAAGTAATCGCTTTAATACATGTTTATTTTTGGATACACTTACAAAATCTTTTATACCTGGTAACTGCCTACTAAACTGATCATTACAATAGAAGCTTTCTACCTTATTAATGATATCTGATTCAATTCTAACAATGTTAGTTTTTTCTGGAAGTGTTAATATTCCTTTTTCAAATTTAAGTTTTCTTGCTTTAGTTATGGTTGATTTTGATATATTAAATACTTCACCTGCTTTCCTTAAAGGCCATGAATCTCTTCTATTTGGTGTTTTCAGCTTTTCTTGCATTGAAAGTATCAATTTATTTAGATCTTCAGCTTTCTTCTGATTTTCAACATTGGGCTCCCCAGTAACATCATTTTTCAGGTCTGTTGCGTTAACATTGAGGATAACTGATAGCTTTTTTGACATAACATCAGTAGCTTGCATTAATTTTCTTTTTCCTAGAGATATTTTAGCATGTTGTGGAACCCCATGAAATTTTACTGGCGATACATCTAATTTATCAAAACTGATGTTTATAAGTTCTTTTTCTTGTGCCATTTCTATATCTTCATCAAAAAATGTTTGTTCCAGAAAATCATCTTCACCATTGTGGTCCTGTAAGGTAGACCAGTTATCTATTTTTTTACCAATTCTTTTCGACATGAAGGACACATTTTAAAACCAGGTGTTGTTTTAATACCAATTGAACACATATCTTTTGCCAGTTGAATATCAATTTCTCGCAAACCACCTATAAATATATTATAAATGAATAAAATTTGCCAAAATTAGGAAATATTAATTTAGATAATATAATGTTAGGAATAAAATAAAAAAATTAAAATTTTGAAAACTAGATGTATGTACTAGATGTATTTTTTGTAAAAAGACAGTACAATAAGTTAAAAACGTAAAAATTTACCATTTATATTAGTTGTATGCTTTTTAAATGGGTCGATGCAATTTTTTTGGGAGTTAGCAAACCGGTTAAGTAAAATTTGTTCATGATGTAAACAGATTTTAACATTAACATTTAATATTGATAGTCCAGATCTCCATAATAATAAATTTCTATCTTTCTCTGAATAGCTTGATAAATCTTTCAATCCAATTGATTTAGTGTACACCATTTTATGAGATTGATCATTTGATAAAATACCAACTGTACATAAAATCTTGTTCATTTTATTTTTTCCAATTTTTTAATAAGCTATAAATAAACACAAAATACACTGACATATTTAATACATTTTAATACATTTATTAAAAATGGAAAAAATATTTACCATTTATAATTAGTATTTTTAAATATGTACAATATATAGTATTTTATGTATTTATTTTTTTTTAAATTAATGATTAGCTATGGAGAACAAACAACAGCTGGTAAAACATCAGACTAATCAGATAAAGTCTTAGGGTTTTAAATATTGAGTTTTTCTTCTGTTTTAGTCAAAGATAACACAATATGTCATTAATTAGAAAGCAAAAATTTATTTAAAAAAAAAATATTCATTTGAATTAAAGTTTCTTTAAATAATAGGTTAAAAGGATTTCTTTTGTATAATATTTTTGATAACTAATGAAAATTGTAAATATCAATTAATTTAAAATAAAATCATAAACACAGACCTATAATACTTATTTTTTCACATAATACTCCTATATTTTTACAAAAATTTTCAAAAAACCCACCTCTACATTTTGCACCAAAAAACTCATTAGAATATCTATTTTAATAAAAACAAAAAAAAAATCGCAAAAAAATAATGCTACCATGGTTACCAGACCTTCTTTTTGCCTTTGTTAAAATTTCAAAAGTATCTGTAGGTGAAGTACAATAGCTATATTGATATAGTTCTAAATATTCTCATTAAAAACAAATATTATATTCTGATTCCTCGTCCTAAAAACTATACTGGGGCTCATTTTCAGCTTAATTACATGTTTAGTTAAACAGTAACTGTAGTAAAATCAAAATGGCCGCCGAACAGAAAAAACCGCTAAAAATAGCTAATTTTAAAGTAACAAAGTGCTAAAATTTTGCAAGGTAGTCTATGTTATATAGATAACCATTTTTACAAAGTATGAAGAAAATCTGAGATGGTGGGTTACATACCTGTCCCACTTTCTCATAGAATACCTCCTCAATCTTTAGTAATGGATTTAAAAAAATATCTTTTGTTTGTTCATGCATGGTCTGGATTCGACTCAACATCTGCAATAGTGGAAAAACCTAGTTTTTTTAAATTTCTGAAAAATTGAATAGCATACAATCAATATCTGAAATAATTTCGGATTACTGGGCAACCAAAAAAGAAGTCGGGGTACCTGCAGTAAAAGCTTTTATTGAGCATTTTGTTGGAAATGCAGAATCTTCATTAAAGAAAGTGAGGTTAATATTTGCTTATTTTAAATTTGTTAATCTTTATCATTCAAGAAAATGAATGATAAAGAAAATGAAAATCATATTTTCATTGTATTATTTCTTAGGTTTTAAAAACATAAATAAATGGGTTGTGAAGCCAGAAAAGCTACCACCTACAGATCGTACTGCTTATTTTCATGGTCTTCGAGTTCATCTACATGTTATTGAATGGAAAATGCTAGATAAAGCTTTAAACTTGGATTTCGAAGATTGGGAATGGAAATTTAAAAATGATTATTTTCTCCCTATACCAACAGACAAGAATGTAAGACCATCCAATATGCTATAAGTGGTTCGCTGTAATTTTAAAACTTTATTAAGAAATATGCGCTGAGCTAATATTTATTCTTGCAGAAAAAAATGAATTAAAATGAATGTCTTTGTGCATCAGCTGCTATAGTTAAGACTGCCACAATGGAACTGTGAATTTTAGTTTTTTAATTTATGTACACTTTTTAAAAGTTTACGGTTTTTTTTAGAAACAATTGAAATTGGAGAATATTCAAGTGATGATATCGAAAACGAGAGAAACTTATTTGAAGATTTGTTTGATTAAAAATATGCTAATAATAATAAATGCTTAAGATAAAATGCAAAGTGCGATAAGATATTCTTATCGCACCTTGCAATTTTAAGAAATTTATATTCGAGTTACAAAATTATTTTTAAAAAATGTATTTCTTTTCACATTTATTGTGAGGTTTTGCGAAGCAAAAGGTTATGTTTTAAAAGCAAAGTTTTAGGTGGAAAAAACGTCGAATCAAATTAACTCTTTTAAAACAAAAAATTACTTTTCAAAAAAGGTTTTCAAATCATTTTGTCTAATATAAATATTGATCAGCATAAAATTTGCTATCCATCTATATATAGTTTATGGTATTTTAGACATTTTTACCCCTAAAATTGCCCCAAAAGGGATGTAACTGTTGCGCAATTAACAGTCCTTTTTTTACGTTTAAAGACTTTCTTTGTTCTACGTGCCGAGTTTTGGCTTTATACTATTATTATCCAGGTTCGACAATCAATTCCGTCTTAATCTAATTCCGTCTGGCTATAATTAAGTTGTTTTAATGATTTTGATAATAATGATTCTTTTCAATATCATGATAAAAAAAATTTGTTTTAAAATATTATTGTTTCTGGAAAAAAGATGTCGTCTTCAATTTATTGTTGGTCCGATATTCTACTCATTTTTATAAAAAATTATTTCAGAAAAAAGCTAAAAAACTTTAGCAGTTTTTACTTATTGTAAGTTTAATCGAGACTCGTAAATATTTTTCAAATGGTATGTTTTTCAAATGTTTTGTATTAAAATATATAGGCAAATATATTAAATCTTATGTTTTTGCATGTAAATGTTTGAATAAAGATTAGTTCAAAATCCTCTAATTATATTGTAATTATATTGTTTTCTTTTGGTAAATACTCTACATGAAGCCTAATTATAGCGCTTAATGTTGGCAGACTTCATAAGTTTGATTTCAAAAAGATAAGTTTGAAATGAATATGGATGTGGCTGAAATGTTGTTTCAACTTTTTTTTGTCCTTTTAAATAAGTCCTTCTTCCTAACTTGTTAAACTATAACTTTAAGGTATATTTATGCATTTAGATAAGATCAAAAAGATAAGTTAAGTTATGCTTTGCTTAATTTATAAACACACTTTTAAAAGATAAAATAACAGTTTTTACTAGCATGTATGATTAGGACAAGTTTAAAGAATTTTCGGGTGTGTTTCTATTAGGTGTGGGAATGAAAATTTATTAATTAGGGATTGTAAGACTTGTTAGATCTGGGATTTTAAGTGTTAGTTTTAAAATAATTTTTTGTCAAACTATTTTAAATTGTTAAACCGTATAATTTTATTTGCTACAGATGACAGCACCACCACCACCAACTAATCCTTATTATCCTCCACCACAAAAGGAACCATATCAAGGCTTGTCAAATCCTCCTCCTTACAATCAACAGCCGCCTGCTTACCCTGTTTCAGGTTATCCTGCATCTGGATTCCAAGGGCCCCCACCTGGATTCCAAGGGCCTCCACCTGGTTATCCTGTGTCACAGCCGGGTTATCCAGTTGCTCAACCTGGATATCCTCCACAGCAACCAGGTTATCCGCCCTCTGGTTACCCGGGTTATCAACAGACAGGTCCATATCCTGCACAACCTACCAACACAACTTTGATAATGCAACAGCCTCCACAACAAGTGTATGTTCATCAAAAAAAAGCCGACACAACTGCTGAAGATTGTGCACTTGGTGCTCTATGCATGGCATGCCTATGTTGTTGTCTAATGAGTGATTAAATTTATTGCTTCAATATCAGATAATATATTATTTGATTAAACGTTATTTTAAAAAGTTTTATTTTTAGTTGGTTGTAGAGTTTTGAGATTTAAAATTTTGTGTTTGAAAAAAGTATACGTACAGTATAAATATACTAAACACATACTAAGTAAATATTGGTAGATGTTTTTTTTTTAAGACTACAAATGACTGTTTATTTTTTTTTGTTTTGTGTTATTAACTTTTATAATATTTTTTAATATTGTTTCATAAACGCCCTGCTATTTTAGTTTTAATATTAGGCTCATATATTTTTGCGGGCGTACGGGTTTTCGTTGACAAAAACCATTGGTGAAAACCTTCATAATATCTTTTTTTTTTAATGTTAAAATAATTCTCTCAAGAAAATTTTTTGATGATATAAACACAAATTTCTTCAAAAGTTATTACAAAAGTTTATAAAAAACGCTATTTTCGTAATGTTTGAATGCTTAGAGTTTTTTTTAGCGAAAAAATCCAAAAGAATTAAAGCTGATTTTAAAGACATTTTTAAAAGAACATTGTGATTTTGGTTTACATGACCAATGATATATAAATAAATAATAGAAACTAATGTGTGACATTTATAACGTTTGCATGCATGCAATCATTGTATATACATATTATATGTAATACAAATAGATTATATGTTATAATATGTAAAAACTTTATATATTTATAGCGTTTAATCAAAGATCTTAACAAGTTGCCTCTACTTAATGCGTTAAAGTTACAGAAATTTATTAGAGGTCACAAACTACATAGGTCTATAGTATTCATAGGTCCAAATCATTTAAGTTTTATAATTGTTTAGTTATATATCATCGGACATTGAGATAACGATAGAATAAAAATTTAAAAGTTAACGTTTTTATTTTATCTGTAATTTATATAAATTTGAAACTTTTGACGGGCGTTTTCTGTTTTTTATGATAAATAGAATTGTAAATTAAATTTTTTTATAGACTTGTATTCTTTTTTTCGTTTACATTAAACAATACATGGTGTTTGATTTATTATACTTATTCTGAATGAAAAATAAAATTAAGTACATAGAACAAATAGATCATTTTTAATATATTGCTCATTAGCTGTATTAATTATTTACATGGTGTTAAAGTGTCATCTTACATGAATAAGCATTTCTATGTTAACACACAACATTTGCGTTGTGTTCTTTTACGTCCTAAATGTTTTGAATATTTTTGTTCCCATGTTTTAATCGCTGAAGTTTTTGCAAAACATCCATATTTGACCTTAACATATACAAAATTGAAGTTTCGTCATGCTCAGAAGTTATTTACCTCAATCGCCTATAGCCGCAATCTTGCTTGAAGTTATGTAAAATTTGTAATGTCTATTCAACGGCATTTTTTCTTAGTTTGCATCTATTTATGAAGGTTTAAATTAGTATTGGACTTTACTTACTGAATTATTTAGAATAATGGATTAGTTTAACTTTGTTGAAACAAATATAATGTCAAACAGATAAAAGTTGTTTAAAATGTTAGCAAAGTTAATGATCCTAAGTGTATACTCCTTCTTTCATTAAAGTCTCGATCTAATGAAAAAAGGTTAATTAAGAATAAAAATATATAACCTTAAATATTAAGACACACTTTGTAAAAAGTTCAAAAAAAAATCTGAGCAGTTTGTAAAAAAACTATTATCATAATATTTTGACAAAACGACTCTTGTTTAATTGTTCTCAGTTTACAGTGTCTAAAATTTTATTTTCATGTGTTTAGATTTTAAATGCACACTATGAGTCAAAATGAACAGATAGGTCACTTAAAGAAAATTGAAAATCTACATTAACTTTCGATATAGAACTTAATAACTTAATTGGGAACTTAGAATCTGCTATTAACTGTACTCGTAAAAAAAAAAAAATTATGTTTCCAAACCCAAACCCCACTTCAAGTGAGCTTTTTTTTAGTTTCAGAAATAATATCAAACTTATTATTACAGCAAATGAATTAAATAAAATTTAAAAAGAATGTTTGGAAGAGCCAAAGTACACCTTTAAAGAAATTTTCTAAAGCAGTTGCTCTAGAGCAGAGTAAAGAATTTATATCAATAGTGTTAAACAAGTTATAGGAAACTTCAGTCTACTGTTTACTATCTCTTAATTCCAGACCTAATAAGTCCTACAATCTTAAATTAAATAATTTCCATTCCTATTCCCAATATAAACACACGCCCAAATTTTTTTTATCATAAATTTAACTCTAAAAGTTTTTAGATGCTATAAGTACAAGAATAACTAGTACAAAAATAAATAAAAAATACTAAAATAAGTTTTACTAGATCTTGCAAAAATACTAAAACAAGTTTGACTAGATTGCAACTAGGTTTCATTAGATCTTGCAAAAAAAAAGATTATACAAAATAAACTTGACGAGAAAAAAGCCAAAATATTTTCTTTATTTCATATAAAACAGTAGTCTTCTTCAAGATGTTGCACATGGAGTCAAAAAATTAAATATGGCTCGAGATTATACATAAGATTATTATAATCTTGTATAATCTCGAGATTTTACAAAAGCAACGGTAACACTATCAAAGTTTTATTTAAAATTAAATACATAAATTTATAAATATATAATAAATTTATATTAAGTTTATAAATATATATATATATATATATATATATATATATATATATATATATATATATATATATATATATATATTATATATATATATATATATATATATATATAGGGAAAGTGGGGGCATAACCGCATATGGAGGCACAACCGTTTTTTAACATTTCACTTTGAAAAATATTATCTAATCTGGCAAAAAAACTACCACACATTAGTAAAACAGTTTTCTTCATTTTTCTTATGTCAAAAAGAGTGCCTGCTATGTTTCTGAGAAGTTGTGCATAATAATGTATATTTTGATAAAAATATTATATTTACATCATATTTTTAAAGACCTTTTTTTTGAGGATAAAGCAATATTTGATTTTAGTGTTAAAGATATGTTATCAGCGTTATTTCATCAAGTAAAAACCATTTTTGATATCAACATAACCTAATAAGCAAGCTATGAAACTGAATTCTTTCTAAAAACTGTCCACTGGGGCAGAACCGCATAGACGCACAGGAGGCACAACCGCATACTTTTATTATTTATCAAAGTTATGTAATTACAAATAACAACAATTACAACCGTCACATTTGAATGCGTTCACGTATAAACTTGAATAGTTTTGCTTTGAGATGATAGAAAAGTTGTTTAAGATGTTAGAAAAGTTTTGTTTTGAGAAAAAGATATTAGAAAAGTTTTTTTGTTAGAAAAGTTTTGTCCGAAAAGTTTTGAAAGAAAAGTTTTGTTAAAAAAGTTTTGTTTTTTGTTAGAAAAGATGTTAGAAAAGTTTTGTTTTGAAAAAAAGTTGTTAGAAAAGTTTTGTTATTTGTTAGAAAAGTTTTGTTAAAAAAACTTTGTTAGAAAAGTTTGTTTTTTATTAGAAAAGTTCTGTTTTTTGTTAGAAAAGATGTTAGAAAAGTTTTGTTTTGAAATGTTAGAAATTAGATTTCGTATTTTTTTATTTAATTTTTATAAATGAGTTTTTGAATTAAAATAAAGCTAAGAGTATATCGAATAAGAAAACTGAGATTGTAAGTACAAAGAATGCCTACACAGTATACAAACGTGCAACAAAATCAACAAATAATCTGAGCTATGACAATTGTAAAGAAAATGTACCTAGAACAGTGAACCCCCAACGATTTTTGTGAGGGTGCGGTTGTGCCTCACAATGGAGGCAAAACCGTTTTTTTCACTAAGTGTAATTTTTGTGTAATAACATTTTCCCCACCCTCTGATAGACCTTGCGTTCATGATTTTAAGTAATCAAATAGTCTAATCCATTTGATTGCCATTAAGACTAAAATACAAACCATAAAGAGTCGTATATTACGAGAATTTTACAGAATTCGCCTTTATTAAATGCAATATTCATATCTGCGAATCTGCATAAATCTAAACAGCATAAAAAAAAAAAGCAGCCGTGGCGCAGTGGTAGCGCACTTGCCTCAGGAACGTAAGATCCCCGGTTCAAACCCACCTCTGGGCAAGTTTTGCGACATCGGTTAGGAAGGAGGCGTGAACTTCCTATTAAATGTTCTTCCGCGGTGCTCTGTCGGCCCCTAATTTTCAACAGCCAAAAAATTTTTTCGGACAACAGTCCGAAAAAATTTTTTGACCGAAAAAAAAGTATTTTATCGGCCAATTGTTAACTTAAAAAAGCATAAAAATTATGACTTATAAAGGTCGCCAATAATTGACGACCTTTATAAGTCATAATTTTTAAATTTTAAAAACATTAATGGCACTAATCATCTTCATAATCTTCATTTTCATTGTTTTCTAGCTCATTTATAAAGTTTTGAATTTCTGGCTCAGCTAATTATTAGCTGAGCCTGAAATTCAAAACTTTATAAATGAGCTAGAAAACAATGAAAATGAAGATTATGAAGATGATTAGTGCCATTAATGTCTATCAAAAGCGAAGTTACAAAAAGTCAAGATTTTGAAGAGATTCTGAATCAATTTATGCATGAAAAGTCATGGAAAAAAATATACTAATTTCGATACATGTAAGTTTTAACTGTCTAAATTTATTTCATTCTTTCTTAAATGTTTCTTGTAACTACAGAAGTAATTAAAACTTCAGTTAAGTGAACTTACATATGAATCTCTAACTTGAAAAAGGGGACAGGTCTTGCAAAAATTCACATAACATGTCCACTTTTTCAAGTTAGGCTAATTTGTATAATAAAAAATAACATTACCTTGAAAATTAAATTCTAGTTCAAACTTTTGAAATGTATAAAAATATTAAATGAGTAATAAATAAAATTAAGCAGAGTATATGAATCGCTAACTGTTACTAACAGTTATTCATATATTCTGCTTAATTATACTTATTGCTCATTTAATATTCTTATATTCATTTATTTTCAAAAAGTTATTTAAATTGCAAAATTTCAATATTTTTGATTACATTTTACAATATGATAATAAGAGTGCTTGAAGTGAAATCTGTAGTATTTTAAAAACATGTAAAGAAAAATAGTGGCTTTTTAACTATGTTTTTTTCTGAAATAAAATATTTTAAATTACAGAATTTTTTTTTCTAAATCTAAAATATTTTTACAATTTTAATACAGATAATCTTCTTGTTGGCGACGTCTGATTTTGAAAGCTATCAACCCGACCTGGGTTAGTTTCTGGGTAGCTGGTCAACTCAAACTTTCATCCCGCAGGCTTTGATAAATAAAAACACATTAATTCGTTCACATAATTTTTTGAAAAGGGGGGCCCATAAATTGTGTTGTGCCTATTGTCTATGTTGTTCTAGATCGGGCCCTGGGTGCAAGCATAATTGCGATTTGGTTTGAAGTGCTCCAAAGTTGTGCACTTCTTTATAATAAATGAATTTAACAAAAATGAATAAACTGCCAAGCGATGGATCAAGGAGTTTTTGTGTGGCTAAAAACTCTGCCACTTCCGCCTACCCCTTCCCCAAGCTGTCATTAGGGCCTCAAAATCTTAAAAACCAATAGTTATACACAGTCAATTACAAGTGTTATGTTTATGAGCGCATGTTCAAAAAGTTCATAAGAAATTTCAGAGATTTTAAAATGGCTGCGGATCTTAGCGACAAAATCTTTTTTATATAGCAACTTTTTTTTAATTTTGGTTTTGTGAAAATTAATGCTGCAACTTATTTATTAAATTCGAGATGAATTGAGTATTTGGACCAAAAGTTGTTTGCAGTATTCAAACCTAGCACCCAATTTTTTCATAAATGAAATAACATCAATAAAACTGAATTAAACCAGCAATATATTTTTCTAAAGTCAAATAGATTGTAATACTAAAAGCAAATTTCTTTTAATATAAATTTTATTTCTCATACATACTACAAACACTCTAATATGATATATTATATATACTTATAATTTATGAACCAATAATTTTTTATGAATATTTAATCTAAAAACAAGACATACAAAATAATTTACGTTCAAGAATATCACTCTAATTCTAATATTCTTTTCTTTCTATCCAAAATTATGAAATTGTGTGCTCTTGTTCATCTATTAAATTATTTATTTGTCTGAAATCACACGCAAGTTACCCTACCTCTTCCAATCTGTAATTTCTTTACTTTTATAAAAAATTCTCAATATTTTTCATCATTTAGCAACCTTAAATTATATATTCTAAATCATTGTTCAGTTAAGTACAGCATAACAAATCACATCACAAACCAACGCATAAAATCATGAAATAATTTATTATTTTTTATTCATAGAATAATTTATTTTTTTATTCACTTTATATCACTAAACTTTACTACTAAAACTCATCTTTATATCTTTTTATTTTGGAGAAATGTAAATACTGTTCGTAAAATGTTACGCTAATTGTGGGTTTATCAATATTATTATTACTTTTATTATTGTTATTATTATATTAAAATAAATATAGTTGTTAACATTGCTTACCTCGTTATAATTGTTTTAATATTGTTATTACTATATAATTGATTTTTATTAGTACTTAAGATTAGTATTAGTACTATTTCTTAATATCCATGTGTATGTTGCATACATACACATATATGACATATATGTGTGTCTTTTCTTTTAAGCAATTGCAAGTTTCCAAATACATGCAAAGTAAGGTAAGTAAAGAAAACAATACTTTTCAATTAGTAAATTTAGTATTAATTAATTTTATTTTAATTGATCTAAGTTTAGAATTTTAATTCATTAACCACCCTATTAGAGCGCAACTCGGAATTAGAAACTTTTAAGTTTTATAACTGGGAATTGGACTCTTCGAATTTTGTAAAAAACCTAATTCCGAATTTTTTAATAAACCTAATTCCCAATTTTGTAAAAAACTTAATTCCGAATTTTAGGAAAATAAGTAGGAATTAGCAAATGTGAATTAAGTAAGAATTAGATTACTCAAATCAATACAGGAATTAAAAATATTTTTTTAAGTAAATGTGCAGTCACCATATAGGGATTACTTCCAGTCACTTATCTCGGAATTAGTCTGCTGTAACTGCCCAGCGGGCACAAGAACGCTTTAAAACGTTTTAAATTTTTTTATACAGATAAGTTATAGAAAAATGTTTACAGGTTCAAATTTAGGTGTAGCAGCCTAAATCTGCATAGAAATTTTTAAAGAAATAATTGTCTAAAGGTTTAATAATATTATATTTATTTTTAATGAAAAAGTATACAAAAACGATATAAAATATTTTATTTTTTAAGGAGCTCTCTTGATCGCCTATCAACGCATTGACGAACTGACACCGAATCGAATTCTGTTACATGTGACAGCATTGTTTCTAAAAAAGAAATCCAATATAAATATTTTGAGCATTTTTATTAGCACATACAAAGAATGCTACATATGCATATAATTAAAGTAAGGTTAAATTAGTGTGATGTATAAACATGTTTAGTTTGTATAACAATGAAATAAAACGTAATTATCATTTGATTATTGAATAAAATAAGATAACAAACATGTCAACATTTAAACATTGCCTATATTATTTATCTCCTAATATAATGTAAACAACAAACATGTCAACATTTAAAATTTAAAAATTACCTACTTGTTTTGTACAACGTTTTTAAAATAATCTTTTTAAAATAACCTGCTTTGTTAAACAATGATTGAACACTTTTTGACATAGCTTTATCAAAAATTTTATTAATCGAAGCTGAAATTGAACAATCACCTTTTCGATAAAGTTGACAGCCCTACAAAATATTGTCTATATATATTAATGTAAAGAATAAACGAAACCAACAAATGAAACTTTTCTTTATTATTTATCTTTCATTAACTCCCTTATATTATTGCATTTATTTATATAAAACAAATCTTTGGGCTAAATCCTTTTTCTTAGCTTTTCCACTGCAGGCAAAAAGTTTTGATTTTGAACTTTATGATAACTAATTCCATATATATAACATATTGAAAACCTATTTTAGATAAATTTGACCAAGTTTACGTACACAAATTAAATTTTATCATCCTGTTGATTTATTAAAATAAATGTATAACAGTTACTATAATTTTTTTGTGGAAAAAGTTCAACATTTATTAAAACACCCCAACATGATCTTAAGATGCACACCAAACATATGCCTATACAAATTTCACAATGTTATTGTTGCTTCACAATTGATCTTCATTGAATATACTAAATGAGTAAGAAACTGATAATGTTTATAGTATATAAAAATAATTGGAACCTATTCAAGCAAAAAAATTTAAGTCATAAATTCCTCAGTGTTAATAAATCAAAGTGACTTACTCGCTAGCTTTAATTGATTATTTAATTGAGTTTCAAATTTACTAAATTAAAGTTATAATAAACAGTGAGCCAACTAAAACCAAATATCGTGAAAGCAGAACTTTAAAAATATATGTTATAAATCATAAATAGAAATTTTTAAAGTCTAAAAAAAAAGAAAAAAGTTTTAAGTATAAAAAAATAATACTATAAAATTCAAGATAACATTACCAAAAATGATACTCATTTTAAAGATCAGAGCATGTATAAAGATAATATCAAAAGTATATACAAACTTAAAATTCGCTTGTGTAACTTTCTTCTCAGCAAATCAGTACCTTAACAAGAAAAGCTAAATAAGCACAACCAACAAACCTCAAATTAAACAAAGCCATATAAAGTATTTACAACAAAAAAAGCAAAAGCTAAATAAAAGCTAAATATCACAACCCAAGGCTTGTTTAAATGAAATAAAAACTAGATGTAAATACTTAAGTTCATTTATAGGTGACAGTTTGTAAATGTATATACATATACTAACTGCAATTTATAATAAAATAAAACAAAAACACTAACTCACACATAAAAAATTCAAAATATATTTAAGTTTACTTTGGACTTCTCTATTTTCTAAATTATTGTCAACTAACAAATATAAAAATATTTACATACATAAAATAAAAATTATTTTATTATATTCTTTTTATAATATATTATAATGCTATAATATAAGAAAATGAAAAAAAAAAAGCATAACTTATTCTTGGAGTCGGAGGTCACGTGACAAATCGGATTTTTATAGCTACCATTATGGATTAGGGAAAACAAACTGTTAAAGCGCCGTAAAAACAGCTAATTTACAAGATTGTTTAGCTAATTTTGCAAATTTAAACTTATTCAAATTAATTTACAAATGCTAATCATTCAAAAGTATTTATTTTAAATAAGTTTTATGATTTTCTGTTTTATTTATAAGTTACATTCTGTTTTATTTATAAGTTACATTCACTGATCTCAAAATATAACTGGATAGCGTATACGGCAAATTTTTTGAAGTCAGTTTTGGCCTCCCAAGATGGCGGCGTATTTGTTTATTACAAATTTAGAAATTTTCGTAACGAACTTTTATATCTTTTTTTATATAAAAATAAATGTACAAGTCTCAAATACAAATATAATTTTTGGTTTTACATAGCAACAATATTACATATTTACGTAAATTTCTAAAATATTTATAATATTTTGTTTAACAAAATATACTCTAAACAGTAAGTTTGTCAGTAAGTTTATTTTATTTAATTTCTAAACAGTAAGTAATTTCTAAACAGTAAGTTTGTTTGTCATTAAATCTTTTTTTTTTGTAAAAAATTTGATTAAATAGGATAAAAAATTTTAGTTAAATTAATTAGAAACTAGTTTATTTTAACATTAGTAAAGAGCACACAAAAAAATAGTACCTAAAACCTAGTAGATAAACTACTAGGTTACTCTATATAACTAGTGATAACCTATTATTAATAGCTTATTACTAGTTATAACCTATTAGTTATTAGTTATAACTAGTTATAACCTATTAGTGGAATTAAAATAAGACTCTAGTAGTTATTAACAATTTCTAGACAACTAAAATAAATGTTTGAAATGTGAAAGACTGAAATCATTTTAATCATTTTTTATTTTTATATGATATACAGATAAAAAGTTTATTTATGGTAAAACTAAAATGAAAAGTAAATAAATGGTATATTATAACATTTATTTAGTTTTACCATAAATTAATTGTTTAATATTGCTTTTTATACAATTTATGTACCTTTTAGTTCTTAACTACCCAATGCTGTGTGCTAGAAGGTTAATAACATAACTGCATGGTAGGCAGCTGAATATCTTTTTAAAATAAACTTTTAATTAGTTTTTTAAATAGATATTATAAATTTACAAATGCTGCATGAACTATTAGCTGAGCTCTGTGAGTATACACAACTCAGGGGTTCCTTCTAGAATTTTTTTATATGTAATTATTTGTACATTATTTTTTATTTGGTTGTACTCTTCTAAAATCACTACACACACATATGTTTGTATATATATATATATATATATATATATATATATATATATATATATATATATATATATATATATATATATATATATATATATATATACATATATACATATATACATATTATATACATATTGTATAAATATAAATATATACATTTAATGCAGATTATTTATTTTATATCATTTTAGCTGTTTATCCAGCAATCTATGAAATTTTTTGAATTCAAATAGTATGCTGCAATTTGGAATATCTGCATAATCGTGGTCAATATTACCAAGATTATGTAGATATTTGTGATTATTCCATTTTAATATTGAACGCTCAAGATCATATATATGTGACATCAAGATATATACGTGGCTGTGAATTGTTGGCAATTGATATTGTTGTTAAACATTCCCGCACAGCTCTAATAAAAAGCTTATATATTTAATAATTTTATGGTTTATAATAATTTTATTTATAATTTTAACCTACTTTTCCCACTCAGTTTAGAAATATATCTTAAACAGATTTAATAGCTACCAACTATCCAATAAAACCAGTTTTTAGACCAGACAATATTATAAAAATTTATAAAATTGTTTAACTGCAACATGCATTTAATTAACATAAAAGTCACCAAACTATAGCATATAACCATAATACTTAACAGCAGGTAAACAGTATATATAACTTTAGTTATGAAGATATTTCAAAGAGATGTTTTGATTATTTTTATATTAAAGATTTAATTAATACATTTTTTTCAAACAAATGTATTTTTACATACATTTGCATCCTTATTTGTATTGAGTAATTAAGTAAGAAATGATCATTAACTTTTTATTTGTTTTAAAATTTGTTATAAATAACATAATTCAGACCTGTTTTTTTAACAGTACAAGTGACAATTTATGCAATAATAGCATTCAAGTATAATATAATTCTAGAAGAAACCCTTGAGTTTCTGTGTACTCACAATTCTCAATTAATAGTTCATGCAGCATTTTTACAAATTGGTATCTTGTTACAAAAAATAGAGAATATAAAATTATAGGTAGACATGATTGCTGCTTAACATGCTGTTATGTTATTAACTTTCTAGCATACAGCATTGGGTAGCTAAGAACTAAAAGGTACATAAATTATACATAAAACTAAAATTGTAAATTTTACTAATGCCATTTAATAATAAATTCAATTATAAAAAAAGATAATTCCTTTTTTTTTTATTATTAATTATAAAATTCATTATTTTCTTCTGTTTCTTACAAGTTTACAATCTTGTTTAATTTTTTTTTTTTTTTTTTTTTTTGTATTTTGATAAAGTAAAATATAATGTATATCGGTTTCACCGCTAGGAACTAAAATCGCCGCCATCTTGGGAGGCCAATTTTGGCTTCAACTTTTTTCGGAAAAAACAATAGAATCCGCTATCCAGTTATATTTTGAGATCAGTGGTTACATTACATTTTACCTTGTAAAAAAAACCGTTAATTTTATTTTTTAAGTTTATTATGAAAAAATATTTCAAATAAAATTAAACAAATAAACTACTTTAAACCCAAAACAAAAAATAAAAATTGAAAGTACAAAAAGAAAACATCCTATAAACTACTTTTATTATTCCTGTTTGTATATTTTTTTCTATTTAAAATGTATTTTTTTTAAACTGATAAAAATTTTATAAACTGATTAAAATAAAAATGTTTTAAGTCATAAAAGTGTAGACATAAGAATCTTATGTCTAGGTAGATGTCAGACATCTACCTAGACAATTAAGTTTAAATTTTTAAAAAAAAACAATTAAATACTATTAAGTTAATAAGATATATAAAAATGTAACAAATGAAATAAAACAAAACTTTAATTGTAAAATGTTTTTTAAAAGACTTATTTTTTTAAAAGTATCCAATTATAGCAAGTTATTTGTTTACATCTTTTTATGGTTCAAAATATGCATCTACAATTGAAACACTAAGCCTACAATGATAAAATTAAAAATGAATTCCATGAAAAAGACATAGATGATTAGCTATTTGATAGAATCTTCTTGTTTTTTCCTTACTAGCCTATCTGTAACTATTCCAAAAATATAACCATAATGGTTTACTTTTTTTTCTTAAAACTTTCTAATAAGTTTTAGGTAGTAAATTTGCAGTGGACCTTTATAGTTTCACTGTTGATGGGATTTTGCTCAACAGTTACTAAGTGGACCTTAAGTGGCAATCACTATAAGTGGCCAGCCAATAAATTTTTAACATGTGATTTTTTTAGTATTACTTTTGGCTATATGCTGTAATATATTTCTTGTACTGACTGTAACATTTTGCTCTTGTTAATGAGATTCTATAAAGATTTCAAAGCATGTTAGTGTAAGAAACTTTGTCTTGAAAACAGGTGTTAATGATTTACAAATATCAGTTCTGACTTGCATTTTTATCGGAAACTTTAGTTTAATATACATAATAACAACCCACTTCCAAATAGCTTATTGCTAACTCTTACTGATGTTACATATATAAGCAAGCATTTTAAAGTAGGTTTTAGCTTAATTTTATCAAAGTCAACAATATATTTGATCATTTAAGGCTAACTTGTAACAATAATTTTCCATCTACACTTAAATAATCCATCATTACTAACAATTTTTTTTCAGTATCTAAACTGTAAATAGAGCACATATGTTCTCATCTCCAAATTCTAACTTTAGTCTTTCACATATTACTTTTAAACTATCCATTTCCTTAGAAAAACCTTTTCTTTCTAACTGTGTAACTGGAGTTAGTGATGATATTAATGATTGTGCAGTTAAGAGGCGTAATCTTGTTTCGAGGAGTTAATGAGTTTTAAAAGCATAAAAAATCTGATGGTTCACCTTCGACTTATTTTTTTGCATTGAAATCATTTTATAATTCCATCGTTATTGTTAAAGCTAAAAATTATTAGGTGAAAAAATTATTATTTGATGCAATTTTAATATTAATTCTTGTGATATATTGATTTTAATTTATAAAAAAATAAAGTTAAAAAAAACAACAAAAACCAACATTTCAAAAGAATATTTACTATAATCTAAATAAATTAAAATTATCAAGGAATTGCTAATTTTATACAATTTAACATAAAATCCTTGTATTTAAATAGTTTTAATATAATTACAACTTTAATTTAGTAAAGCAAATAAAAGAATATTAATTACAGTATATCATAATAATATATTATTATGATATACTGTTATATAACTGTTACATATTGTTGTTATTATTAACAGCAATATATAATAGTTCATATATTTTTTATATAACTTTTATGTAGATTTTATCTGTTGTTTTCTTTATTTTTTTTTTTTGTATTTAGTGACCAAAAAACTATAAAGTATGTGTAGTGAAAAAAATATACACTTAACAATCATTAAACTATGTTGTATAATTGTGGAGTGTATTAGAGTATAAATGTCTAGTGGAAAAAGTATAAAATTTAAATCATTAAACTATGTTGTATAAACCTAACTTTTTTAGTAACTATTTTAGCATTATTTTATATCTGTCAAGCCCGTGTATTTAAAAGAAGATGTTTGTTTTTTAAACTTGTTTTTGTCCATATTACTTTATTTACCTTATACTACTGTTATTTTTACTTAACGAATTTTTTTAATAATTAAAAAAAAAAAAATTATTACAAAAATTCCTTATTTACTATTTGATAAATTACTAAAACTAAAACCCACCAGAAAATATTGTTGTGAACAGACATAATGATTATTTTGGGAGACTATATTTTGACTTAATAACTAGTAATTATTAAATCAAAATTATCGCAAAGTATAATTATTTCTGTATAATAATAATAATAATAATAATAATAATAATAATAATAATAATAATAATAATAATAATAATAATAATAATAATTAAAATTAAATTTGTTAAGAGGTACCTAGAGTATTATAGGAGTACATATGGTATCCTATAAATTTCTTTTACTCATTTCAAACAAAGATTGGTTGAAAGAAAAACTAAAACTAAATTTAATTAATTAGAAGAAAAAAAAGTAACATATGTTAAGGTATTTAAAAATTATGGTAAACAATTATCTAATTATTCAAATAAATCGTTTAAAAAAAATGAAAATTCAAATGCAGAATAATGATTTTAACAACATGTGGCTATGAAAATAACCGCTTTTAAAACTTTTCTTTTAAAACTAAACAGCAGTGATCATCTAGATTACAAGATGAATAACATTAGCAAATAGTGAAACGTTGCCGGAACCGTAGTCAATCGATAAACCTTATTGGAGTACAGATTACAAACAGCAAAGTAACAGTGTTAAAATGCAGAATCATATTCAATATAATTTCATTTTGAGCAACTGTTGCATATCCATGGACCAACTGGAGCCCGTGTAATTTTCACACAAGAATAATGAAACCATTCAACTTTACAACCTGGTTTATCACAAGCTATCATTGGTTCAAAACAGGGTCTTTTACAAGTACAGTAATACTTTTGCTTATTGTCTAAACATACATCATTTTTGCGTGTAACAACTTCAGGTTGTAAACATTCAATGAAAAATTTCCAGAGCAAAGGCATCATTTCATCAATAAACTCTAAGTCTTTAGTTACTCGAAATAATAAATAATGATTTGGAGCCCAGACAAAAAAATCACAATATTCTTTATTTAGAACATATAATTGACCTTGAACTTGTGCATAATATTTGTGATTTTTCTTCATGGTTCCAGATGAGTCAATAGGGAAACTATTATCCATTTCCCAGTTAACTAAACCATTCCGATAAATAAATGGACATTTAATTTCGAGCAAACCATCACTGTGGCAAGAGCAGCTCACTATAGAATCAGGGGACGCTCCTAGATATGTCTATTGTATTAAATATGAAGGCCAGTAGCTGTCACTTGAAAATCATTGTGTTTTTCTTTCATAATAGTTCGATAGTGTTTCCTGGCTTTGCATTCCATTTTTCTGCCGTAAGTTAAAGAAGGTGTGTTTGGTGCTTTGGTATAACACATTAACTTATTAAGCAACGAGTTACTTGAGTTTTTATATTTAAAATGCATAACTTCATAAAAATTAGATGCTGTAATTCTGCCTGCTCTGTGAATATTCCATGCACTAGATAAACTTTGCAGTTTAGTACTTTCAGATAAAAAATTTAAATGAATTTGAAGTGTAAGTTGATTTGTATTCTTCATATTTTAAATTACATATATCTTTGAGAGTGGCACTATCTAAATTGATTGCTTCATAATCAAGTAGACTAGTAAGAGATTCTGAACATAGATTTTCTTCATTCTCATCAGATGTTAAAGTACCCTCAGTATCATAGGAAAGTTCCAAGACATTTACATCGTTAAAATAAGCTGCTTTAAGCATAATTTTTTTGCAGTTCTATGACTTTATCTACACCTAAATTTATAATGGATTGTTCTGCATTGACAGTATAATTTTTACTATTACTGTTAGACAATGTCCTTTCAATTGGTAAATCGTTAAGTTTTGGTCTATTAAAAGATATATTTTGCAATGATGATGCTTCTGCTTTACTTTTTATTTGGTTCTATTGACACAATTTACTAGTCACTGCAGTCTTATGAACTTCAGTTCGAATGCATGCTTCGATCTTAAACAGCAATGCAGCCACATGGCTGCATACAGATCCCAGACTAAAAATAAAATATGGAAATGAGAAACAAAATTTCAATATACTTTATTTTATTTATATAGTATTCAAAGTATATGTCTAAATAACATTAATAAACTATGCCATATGTTTAAACTCTCTCTCAATATATATATATATAAATATATATATATATACATATATATATATATATATATATATATATATATATATATATATATATATATATATATATATATATATATATATATATATATATATATATATATATATATATATATATATATATATATATATATATATATATATAAACACGCACACAAGCACACACAATTAATGGTTTAATTATTAATTTAATGCCTACCCTGCCATGCATTTACAATTGCCAGTTAAAATATATCCAATTTTTTTATGAAGAACAACCCAAACACTGTATAGTTTTTGATTTTGTCCTTGCCTTTGACTTGGAAGAACCTAAAAATAAAAAAGTAATGTTCTATGTGTATATCCTGATTGTGTATTCTATATATATATATATATATATATATATATATATATATATATATATATATATATATATATATATATATATATATATATATATATATATATATATATATATATATATATATATATATATATATATATATATATATATATATATATATATATATATATATATATATATATATATATATATATATATATATATATCTATATATATATATATATATATATATATATATATATATATATATTATATATATATATATATATATATCTATATATATATATATATATATATATATATATATATATATATATATATATATATATATATATATATATATATATATATATATATATATATATATATATATATATATATATATATATATATATATATATATATATATATATATATATATATATATATATATATATATATATATATATATATATATATATGTATTTATATTTATATAAAATTGAAATGTATTAAAATTTATTTTCCAACCTTTGATTTTAAAAAGCAGAATTCACAATCTTTCGAAACTTCATAGTAATAAATGTCATTAACATGTCCACACAAAAAAAAGTTATATGCCTCAAGAGATTTAAAAGCTTTAAGCTTTTCATGGGTGTACTCACTTGTAGAATTGATAAGGTAATTATAAACGTCACCCCAAGATATATCTGGTATTTTTGTCAAATCTGTACTCCAATAAGGTTTATCGATTGAATACGGGTCTGGCAACGTTTCCTTATTTTCTAATGTCAATTTTTTCTTGTAATCTAGTTGATCACTTTTGTTTAGTGTATTAAAATAAGAAGAATTCGACCACATCTTCATAAGTTTCATACGAAATCCACTAAAAAATAGATAAACAACAAAGTTTTTTGACTGCCAAATAGTGCGCATGCGTACATTAACGGACAAAATCAAAACAATTCAAACCCGTCTATTTTAGACATATGACATGTAGTCATATGTCTAAAATATATATCATATTAGTTTAAATCAGTTGTAAAATTAAAAATGTTAACATCTTTGATAGGTATATTTATTTAGGTTAGTTACAACCATGGCCGGTCTTAGGCTGATTTGACCGATTGCTCCAAATAGGGCCCCGCGCTTGGTAGGGGCCCCGCAATTTATAGCATATCATTATAAATGGCAGTAATTTTTTTTTAATTTCTATCAATCTTAATATAATTCGTACAGTTAAAGTTGAACGTTTAATGCGCATGGTAACGTCTATTGTTATTTTTAGTTTATCTTAGTTATTGCGGTATATGGTATAAAATATATTAGTTTCCAATCTACTTTCGAAAGTTCCAGAAGTACTTAATTCCAAAAATTCACGAGGCAAGCAATGAACATGGCGGCAGGTTTTATACTGCTTAAGATTGTATAAAGTATTTACTTTTGAAATTTTTGTAATATATTTTTTGTTTGTTTATGCTATAATTATTTTTCATTTTGTTTACTATTAGTTTTATTTACTTTTGTTTAACGCAAACTTTTCTCGCTTTTCAGTAAATATTTTATATTTAAGACAATATAAATTTTTTTGGATAATTTTAAGAGTACTTTTTTTCAAGTCTAATAAATAATCTTAATATTTAATGTTTGTTTATTTATATTAAGATATTTGCAGTAATCAATTGCTTACATTTTTATTTATGTTTTAATTTGTTGAGTTGTTTAGATACTTAAGATTTATTTTTATTTATGTTTTAATTTATATATATTAGGTACGCGGAAATCCGTGTTTTACGGAACCGAATTTTGTACTAAAACTTTGTGCCAGGTTTTTTGAACTTTTTTTTAGGTAACGTCAGGCGAACGTTTTGTTGTGGCGTTTCTGTTTAGAAACATTACTAAACTTAGATTATTTTTGAAAAAAAGAATAGTTAAACTTGATTAATATATAACATTTATGTGTGGTTGGTAATTTTTGTATTGCTTTTATTTGTATTAAAAACTTGGTTGTTGTTCTCACATTAAATTATTGTCAAAGAAATGCTCAGATAGTTTGCAAACCTACCCAGATAGTTTTTTACATATATTTTTTATCTATCTACCAAATTTCATTGAAAAATATTATTGAGCAGATAGTCTATAAAAGTGAGCAGTTTTGGTACCTCATTTCTGTTTTTCTGATTTCCGTAAGTGGGTGGTAAGAGGGGTACAAACAAGTTGGATTTTATTTGGTTAGTTAGTAATTATTTATTTTATATGTATAATATATATATATATATATATATATATATATATATATATATATATATATATATATATATATATATATATATATATATATATATATATATATAATATATATATATATATATATTTATATATATATATATATATATATATATATATATATATATATATATATATATATATATTATATATATATATATATGTATATATGTATATTTATATATATATACATGTGTATATTTATATATATATATATATATATATATATATATATATATATATATAATTTTTTTTTTTAAATAAAATAAATTAGTAAAAATATACAAACTAATATTAATTAATATAAAAAATCTAATAAATTACTGCAAAAAAAATATATATATATATATATTTCATATATAATAATATATATATATATATATATATATATATATATATATATATATATATATATATATATATATATATATATATATATATATATATATATATATGTATATATATATATAATAATATATATATAATAATATATATATATATAATAATAATAATAATATATATATATATAATAATATATATATATATATATATATATATATATATATATATATATATATATATATATATATATATATATATATATATATATATATATATATATATATATATATATATGTTAATACAATTAGATATAGACTGCCAATAAGATGTTTTTTTCTTTTTCTTATTTTTTCAGTAGTTTATTAGATTTTTTATATTAATTAATATTAGTTTGTATATTTTTACTAGTTTATTTTATTTTAAAAGTGAAAATTACTATTTATTTTAGTGTGACTTGTTTATAGTTTCTAAAATTTTATTGGTTTCATTGAAATTGAAAACATAAGCGTTGATTACTATAATTCTAGCTATAGGTATGATGGTATTTTAAAAACTCTTTATATTATCACATGTTTTATAATGTCAGTATACATTGGCATTTTTGTCTGTGTATATAAATAGTATTTTTTAACTACGCAATAATACAGTATTATTAAAAATGTTTTTTATAATAAAAGTATAATATTGTTTATAATTTAATGTTATATCATTATTCGGTAGTTATTCAAGACTTTCTTTACATTTTTTTTTGTAATTAAAGTTGCTTTTTGTGCCCCGGCAATAGGCACAATAAGCAACTTTAATTTTTGTTCTTAGTACAGTTAAAGAGTATTTAAATACACACTTCTTTTTATCTGCCAAAACTTGCAGTTGTTGTAAAAATAGATATGTATCTTTTTTATTCATTAACAGTGTCAAGTCATTTGTTATAACTATTATTTAGTTTAAACATTTGTAAACCACATTTCTATAGGGTTTTGATAAGATGCAAAAGTTGGTTTTGCAACTTTACAAGGGATAGTTGTCGTTTTAAGGATTTTGTAATGAACCCTGTATATGCATTGCATAAATCTTGCCCATCTTTCTATCATCATGTCCCTCCAAGTAGTTCTCTTACTACTGTTTTAAGTAGTTTAGATAATTCACCACTTGAGCACATAAGTAATTTATCACCACTAAATCACAATCCTTTATTTTCCAAACATTCTGTTAACAATGGATAGGCATGAATCAAGAGGAGAAATAAGCCCTAGAAAAAAAAGGTTTGAATACCAGATTGTCCTATTTAACTTCTCAGCTTGCTGTTACATCCAGCAAGTATTGAAAAAAATTAGTAATAGTGACGGCAAAATTAAAAAGCATGGCATACAAGTTGAAAGTACTGAGACAAAAATTACATAAAAGAAACAAATTGTTAAAGTTTTAAGAGCTGAACTTAGAGATCTTAAACAAAATTTGCAAACATATTATTACAGTAAGATAATATGCAATCTTAAAGCTTAAAAAAAAAGCAATGAAAATTTCAGAACTTTAAAAGCTACAATAAGTTAAAGTTGTACGCAATATTAAGGCAAATAAAATGCTTATAGCTAGTTACGAATATTTGCTTGCATATATGTAAAGCAGTTGATCATCTAACTTTTATTTAGATTTTCATTTAGCATCTTTTAATGATAGTGATCAATCAATCATCTCAAATATATCAAACGCAATGTCAGCCAAAGTTGCAATTAACCATCTTACCATAAGCAAACTGTGTGACATTTAAGGGGAAAGTTTGAATGAGCTAAACTGCCATTTACACGCTCTTGATATAATTGCTACCTCATGGCTGGGTATGATTGTATGGCATTTAAAATAGTTTTGGCTATGAACAAGTTGAGGTTTAAACATGGCAAAGGTGATTCAAAAAGATTCGTTAGTTTTTAGATGATCAAAAACTACCACAAGGTATCATTCCAAGGTATCGTGGAAATTGTCTTCATATTTATTTTCATACTTGTTTTATTTTTATAAAACATGTAATGAGTTTGAGGATTTTTTAACCATTGGAACAGTAATATGCAGAACTATACAAAAAGTTCTTAGAGCAGTATTTTGTAACAAAACAGCTCTAAAGCAAAAATGTGTGCTTGCATTATTTGGAAAACCACCTCCTCAAAGTCACATAAAACTTTGTCATCCAGTTTCCAGCCTGAATGACAATATTTTGTGTGACTGTTGAGGAGGCAAATTTTGACCATTATAGTGGAATCCTGGTATTAAAAAATATTTTACTAAAAATTGCAGATTCTAAATCAAATCCAGGTTCACTTTTTAAAATGACCTTGAACCAAATATTTTAGATCCAATAAAAAATGTTTTGTTTGATTGATGAACACTTTATCAATATGACTTTTGCTTGTCTTATTGCAGTAGGAGACTTCATAACTCATCAATGTAAGAAATATTTCTCACTTTCTAATAACCAGGCTTTCAAGGAGAAAGTAACATGTGCAAGGCTTCACGATATAAATAGTGAAGAGTTAATGGGAATGTTTAGCGAGGCTGAAGAAAGATCACCTAATGCAACAGTTTGTTATGTTTCATACAAATTAAATTACCTAGATAGTTTAGATCAATTATCTAGAGAAAATATAGTTATGTGGTCGACTCAGAAACCCATAAAAATGTAGTCATGTGGTCGATTCAGAAACCCATAAAAATATAGTTATGTGGTCTATTCAGAAACCCATAAAAAGAGATGATAAATCAAATGAAGCATAATGATATATGAGCAGATATTTCAAAAAAACATGTATGCAAATGCCAAAAAATGGATGAAAAAGACAAAAGAAAGTTAAAATGACAGTTGCTTGAACTCTTTTACAATGAAATAAAGTGTTTAAATACATTGTCTATCAAACAACGTCATGACTAAGATGATGTAATGTCAGATAGAATTGTTGGGCAAAAACTTTGCCATGAATGGTACAATAGTAAGTATTCGAAGTATGTCATGTATGATGGTAGAGAAGAAAAACTTGATAAAACAAAACAAGACAAAGTTTACACAATTTCTTACTGGAATAAAGGTAATACTGATACTGAATTGTTGGGCAAAAATTGACTACAACATGAAAAAATATCAGCTTCCGCTGATGTTGGACTAGGAGAGTTGATTTTTTTTTGAAGTGTAATATGTAACAACTTATGATATTACTTGTAATGAAGCTTTAAAAATAGATACTGCAAGTGATAAAACTTACAAAACAGATACGGCATATGATGAAACTTGTATAAAGATATTGTAAGTAATATAACTTGAAGAAGTAGTCATATCAAGTCAGGTATGCCTGGTATTAAACCATATGTTTTTGTTTTACTTTTTTTTATAAATGTTTTTAGAGAAGAATAAAAGTATTTGACTTGGAATGACCTTTGCACAAGTGTTGTGACTTGCAAAATATTTTGATAGGCAGCTCTGGCTTATCTTCACAAGGTGTCTATTGTTACAAATGATTATTATAGTGTTCCATTTATGAAATTGACTATTTTAATTATTTACTAAAAGCTAAGACAACTATTTAAACTTAGGATATCTAAAATGTTTTCATACAGAACAATATAAAATTGATTGTTACATTTTTTTATAGGATACAACACTGATATATTTGGTAATGAAATAAAATATATTTAATGAAATATCAAAAAATGAAATATACTAATTTATTTTGTTTGTTAAAGATACAATTATTTTTAAGAATTCAACATCTTTTTATTGTAGGTTGTGGGTAACCATTACCACCCTATTTAACAAACTTCTCAACTTGACCAAAATTTACGAATAGCAGCGGAAAGACTTTTTTTCCAAAAGTAGGCTCGGTTGTGGTCTTTATCTTTAGCTTGTAGGTAATACTTGGTGCAAAAAGCCTAATTCAAGTTTTAAATTGTTAACTTATTTTAAAATAATTATAATTGTTATTTTAAAGATTTATTTATTTTACTTTTTTTTTTTTAGGTTGGGGGGGGGGCACACGCCCCTCCCACAAGTCAATAAGCACACCAACAATAAATGAATTTCTTGTAGCAAAAAAAAAAAATTTATGTTTTTTATACTGTATACTAGTTTCACTTATTTTATTAAATATAGAAATATTTATTTATTTGTAATTAGAGAATTAAATATTTTTGAAATTAGGGTGTGTTAAACCATCACCACCATATCCACCACAACTTTAATAAACATCAATCATTGATGGTCTGGAATAAAATTATAGCAATTTTTTGTATAAAAAAAATAACCGTTAGTTAAAAAAAAACACTTTTTATTGAAAGAAATATGCTTATTTTTAGGGTAAAGGTGGTGGTTCGGCACCCCCTCTAGCCCCCAGGAAACGCTTAATAGGTGGACGATGTTATAAATTTGTAGCCCACAGTTACACCTATCTTTTGATACTAAGTTATAGGTATTTAGACAAGAATTGACAAAGTTATAACAATTTAAGTAAAGAAAAATTAAATTTTGACCACAGTTTCTTCAACAAATCCATATATCAAAAATTTGCGACTAAAAACGTCATAACTTTTTGTACAATAGTCCGATTTTAATAATTTTTTCACCTTTGAAATACTGTATTGAAGCACTTTCTAATGATTTATAACAATCTAACCTTTGATCAATTTAAAATTTTCAATCCACATACCTATATATATATATATATATATATATATATATATATATATATATATATATATATATATATATATATATATATATATATATATATATATATATATATATATATATATATATATATATATATATATATATATATAAATTTTATACAAAGAAACTGCTTTTGATTTTGTTTTAAAATTCTCCTCTTTATTTTGCTCCTATAAATAAATTAACTAAAAACAAAAGAACTTTTAAGTTTGTTTTCATGCTTCAAAAAAAAAAGCTATTTTTATGTTTTAATCTTACTATAATTCTAATGGATTTATTTATTTATTATCTCTTTATCAATATGTTTTATTATATTTTATCTCTATATTGTTTTAGCTAATTGAAGGGAAAATGTTTATATTAGTTTTGTTAATTTTACTTTTAATTTTGTAAAGGGGATTTTTTATTTATTTTAGTTTAATTAAACTATTTTATTTTATTGTGCAATTTAGTAGTAAAAAAAGAGATAAGTTTTTAGTTTTGAAGAACGCAAGCCAAAGTATGAGTAAAAGACAAAGGGAGGTCGGTAGAAAATATCTAAGTGGTAACATGAAGAGAACCTTAGCTAAGGTAAAGTTTACCTTAGGTAAGGTTCTCTTCATGTTACCACTTAGATATTTTCTACCGACCTCCCTTTGTCTTTTACTCATATTTTGGCTTGTGTTCTTCAAAACTAAAAACTTATCTCTTTTTTTACTACTAAATTGCACAATAAAATAAAATAGTTTAATTAAACTAAAATAAATAAAAAATCCCCTTTACAAAATTTAAAAAATCAAAATTTAAAAAATTTACAAAATCTTTAAAAGAAAACTGAAGCAGAAAAAGAAAAAGGTGGGTTAGATAAATATTTAAGTAAATCAGTAGATCTGTTTGAAACTGAAAAATCAGACAAACAAGTCAAGTCAGACGACAGTGAAACAAATATTTCTAAAGAAATTACATCAGAAGCTAGTTGTAGTTTTCTTTCTGGATGTAATGCTCAACAAAATACATCTGAATTATGTATAAATATATCTGTTAACACACACAAGGATAATGAGGATATTTCAGAATCAAGAGAAGAAAATTCAAACCCAGCACTATGTGATATTTTAAAGATAAAAGATGACCCTGCTACATGACCAAATAAAATATCAAAATGTCAGAGATTATTTAGTGAACAAAGGACCCCCTAAGATCACTCTAGAAAATTTTCCGCAAAATGAAAAAGGGTTACATTTTTCGAAATTTCACTGTAAAAGAAAGTTAAAAAATGGGGAAGTTATAGAACGACCATGGCTAATATATTCTGATTCATTTGATAAAGTTTACTGTTACTATTGCAAACTTTTTGACACAAATTCTGATTCTGCACTTGCTACTTCTGGATTTGATAGCTGGTCAAATATTCATATAAGATTAGAGGATCATGAAAAATCAAAAAAAACATTTGCAATGTACACTTAATTGCTATGAACTGCAGCAAAGGTTATCTACTGGATTAACTGTTGATACATTAAATGAAAAATTAATAAGACAGGAAACAAAACGCTGGAATCAAGTCTTTGAGCGACTTGCTTCTGTACAGTTTTTGGCAGAAAGGAACTTGGCATTTCGTGGGTCTGAAGAACAAATTGGAAATCCACATAATGGCAATTTTCTAGGCGTCATTGAATTGCTAGGAAAATTTGATCCAGTTATGCAAAATCATATACAGAAAATTATTAACAAAGACATTCATGATCATTATTTAGGCAAGACCATACAATATGAAATTATTGATACTATAGGCCAAGCTGTTCTACAGGAAATTATTGCTAGAATTAAGTCGGCAAAGTATTTTGCAGTGATTCTTGACTGCACTCCTGATATCAGCCATCAGGAACAGATGTCAATGGTGCTAAGATATGTCGCTGACGGCACACACTCAGATGTCCCAGCAGGAATTTATGAACATTTTATAAAGTTTATTATAGTTGAGAGCAGCACTGGTGAAAATTTATTTAACACTCTTGTGAAAGAAATTGAAATGCTAGGACTAGATGTTGAAAACATCAGAGGACAAGGGTATGACAGTGGAGCTAATATGAAAGGGCACAATTCTGGAGTGCAAGCACGACTTTTGGAAAGAAATTCACGAGCTTTCTATACTCCTTATGTGTGCCATAATGATAATCTTGTTCTAGGAGATATGGGTAAAACGTGTTCAGATGCCATGACATTTTTTGGAACCCTGCAGCGTATTTACACCCTTTTTGCTTCATCTACAAAAAGATGGACTGTTTTTAAAAAGCATGTAAAAGGCCTGTCTGTTAAACCATTATCAGAAACAAGATGGGAATGTATAATGGAAAGTGTTAAAGCTGTACGATTTCAAGCCACAGAAGTGTGTGATGCTTTAGAAGAACTAGCAAAAAGCACAAATGATGCTCAAGGGAAAAGTGAGGCTGAATCATTAGTAAGCCAAATGACAAATTATAGGTTTCTGGTTGCACTATGTTTTTGGCACTCTTTATTGTTTCAAGTAAATTTTACTAGCAAAAAACTTCAAAGCAATACCATAGACATTGCCGCGGGGCTGACATCTTTTGAAAAATTGTTTGATTGGTTGAAGACATACCGAGAGACAGGCTTTGTAGCTGCATTGATTGATGCCAAAGAGCTTGCAAATGAGTTAGAAGTTGAACCCATATATCAACAGAAGCGCTGTTACAAGAAAAATAAATTTTTCTTTATGAATCTTCTAACGAACCAATTTTAGACCCCAAGACAGAATTCCGGGTAAATTTTTTCAATCAAGTTGAAGACAAAGCATTGCAATCTCTTCAACCAATGCAGCTGAAAGAACACCATAAACTTTTTGGATTTCTATATAATTTTCAGAATATGTCTAAAGAAGATCTCAGAAAACATTCAGCTGACCTAGAAATTGCTTTGACAGACATTACAAAAGATATAGAAGGGTTCATGCTTTCCGAAGAAAAGGAGGCAATTAAGCCAATACTGCCCGTTCAACAACAAAAACCCAAAGAACTCTTTAAATATTTGGCTTGTAATGATAGGTCGACTGCATAACTAAATTTGTTCATAGCCCTAAAAATACTGATGACAATTCCAGTTACAGTCGCTTCCGATGAAAGAAGTTTTTCAAAACTAAAATTAATTAAAACCTACCTTAGGTCAGTAATTAACCAAGAACGACTAAACAATTTGGCACTAATATCAATTGAATCTCCTATAAGTAAAGAAATTAATTATGAAAAAATTCTAAAAGATTTCGCAAGCAAAAAAGCAAAAAGATCCACTTTGACTTATAGATTATTTGTTTATTATGACAATAAGAAGAACTGTTTTGTTTAAATTCATTGTAATATTTTTATTATTGTTTATTCAGGGTTGCCACCAAATCAGGGAATTCAGGGAAAATCAGGGAAATTTAGATACAATCAGGGAAAATCAGGGGGAAATCATTGATTTAGGAAAAAATCAGGGAATATCAGGGAATTTTTTAATTTTTCTTTATTGTTTTGATATTTTTTCTAATAAAAATCTTACTTTTCAAGGGTTAATGTTTAACATTTTACCAATTTAAGGGTACCAGGGTTAATGTTTAACATTTTACCAATTTAAGGGTACCAGGGTTAATGTTTAACATTTAACAAGAAAATTAATCATATTGAGTTTACATTAATTCAATGTTTGCAACTCAATTCAAAGAAAAATGGTTAAGTGATCCTTTGTTTGAAAAATGGCTGGTAATAGGCAGTGTAAAAAAGTCTGCCAAGTGCAAAATATGAAAAGTTGAATTTAATTTGTCAAACTTGCAGAAGAGTTATGATAAGTCTTCGGATGGCAAAAAACATGCATAAAAGTCAAAGCCAGTATCTTGCCTGCACAGTCTACATCTATAAAGCAAGCACTTCAAACAGTAGATTAATGTGATAAAAGTTGTACAGAAATCTAGTCTGTTTTAAATGGAATACAGAATAATTTCTCATTAAACTCATGTAATGAAAATTGCCTAATTTACCAGAAAATGTTCCCTGATAGCAATATTGCTAAATCTTATGAAATGAGTGAAACAAAACTTGGTTATATAATTAATTTTGGTAATGGGCCTTACTTTTACAGACTTTTAACTAAAAATATAAAAAAATCTCCTTTTTATACTCTTTCACTTGATGAAAGTCTGAAAGATTCTTTTAGAAATGGCCAATTAGATCTAAATATTCAGTTTTGGAACAGCCATCTAAATCATGTTGAATCCAGATACTTTGACTCTAAATTTTTAGGTCACCTTACAGCAAAGAATTTACTTAAAAGTATGACTCAACTAAGTATAGAAGGTACAAATGTGAACTTTCTTATTTTAACAAATGTGTCCCTTCTTAATCTTCAGGGTGATCAACAAGAGCTACTTAAACTTCTTAACGTTGGAAGTTGTAACCTTCATTTAAAACATGGTTTCAAATCAGGTTTTCAATCTGCTGAATGGAATATAATGAAGTTAACGAAAGCATCATACAACCTTTTTTATGATTCTTTGGCTAGAAGAGCTGATTTTGTAACTGTTACTGAATGTGAGTGTTTTCCTTATGCATTTTGCTCAAAACATTGGGTTGTAGATTAAAAAGTTGCAGATAGACTTTGTTTAATTTGGGAGAATGTTAAAAAAAGTATTGGGAGACTCTTCTTAAAAGTAAGCAACCAAAATTAAAGAGCTATGACAAGTGTTTGGGACAGAGTTGTTAACAAGGCCAAAAGTATTAAGACCAAGGCCAAGGCCACGCGTTACAAGTCCAAGATCAAGGTCAAAGGTTACAAGGCCAAGGACAAACCCAAGGCCAAGAGTTTAAGGCCAAGGCCAAAATTAAGAGTTTTAAGGCCAACGTCTACGCAAACATTTTCAGGACTAAATACTTTAACTTTTGCCTTGCGTTAAGGCCAATTATTAACACAACTGTAAGTAGCAAGTGGTGTGACAATAAAACCACATTTTGTAATAATAGACCAAGGGTATGGGCAGAATTAAACAAAATCAATAAGAAAATTCGTTTTTTTTTTTATAGGCCAAGACCAAAATTTTCAAGGTCAAGACCAAGTCCGAGGCTAACAGTTTCAAAGCCAAGATTAAGGCCAAGGCCTCAATTTTTGGTCTTAAGGCAAGGCCAAGGACTAGCAACTCTGGTTCGGGGGAACAAAAGATGAGTTAACTTTGACTAAATTGTAGTTTTTTGGTTACATTGCAAGTTTTTTGCAGAAAATCTTACTGAGATATCAAACCAATGCCCCAATGATTCCTTTTCTTTTTGAAGATTTGTTCTCAACTGTTAAAAGTTTAATGGGTTTAATTATAAAACAAGATGTCCTTAGCAGCATCGTTAATGGCAGGCAACTTCAAAAGATGATTTTACAAAAAAGGAAAACTTTCTGCTATTAAAATTAATGACAATTGGATTTGCTGCAGAACATGACATAATCGAATTGAGGAAAAAAGATTATCTCAGGATGTCATCAACAGTTTCATAAAAGATTACGTCTCATTATCATTGAAATTCTGGAAAAAATATTTGAAAGAAGTTTGAATCGAATTTCTTTTCTGAAAGCAACTGGTTACATCAGTCCAGTATCAAATTTTTCTCAACAAAAAGCTGATCTTCATCAGATGAAATCTGTACTACATCTAGTTCTTTTCGTGCTCACATTTTTAAAGTTGTTAGAGGAAAGTTCATCTACTCTTTTACTTGTATTCAAATATTTTTACACTGGAAATTGTTTAAACAAGTTTCATTTTGAAACCATTAAAGTTGGTGTAGGTTATAAGATTTTGTCAAAGGTTTTGATATTTATTTTGGGCAAGCATCAATTGAGAGAGGTTTCAGTATTACCAGTAATATGCTCAGTGAAAAAATGAAAAGAATGTCACTTATATCTCGTCGCACTATCAAGGATTTTATGGAGTCAAACAAATTGAAGGCTAACAAAATAGAAATAAACAATGAAATGATAAATGCTGTTTGTAGTGTCTCGTTACAATATAAAAACTATTAGGAGGAAAATGGAAAACTCTAAGCAAAAGAAAATAGCGTGATAATGCTTTTAGATCAAGAAATATTGGGACTTTAAGAAAAGCAAAAAGTATTAAAAGATGTATGTAAAACATACATTTAGAAATTTATTACATTCATTACATTTTTTTGAATTTCATTAACTTGTACCCTAAATAAGTCTGACAGCAGGTTTTCAATGCCTATTGAACATATCCGTTTTAAATATACCCTGGTTCAAAGAAAAATTTCATATGTTGATTGAAGTATTTGATTATTTATTTTAATTTTCAAGCAAATTAATTGGTTCATTACTCATTGGGGGATTATAGTATCTGTTTTTTTAGAGGTAAAAATGCTCTGGGGTTATTGGAGAAGTTTAAATGTTAAGTTTGGGCATTTGAATGCTGGAAATATCCGGTGGAAATAAGCAAAATTCAAGGGGAAAAAATCTGGAAAAATTGGGGAGAAAAAAACAAAATTTTAGCGAAAAATCAGGGAAAATCAGGGAGGAAAAAGCAAAATTTTGGCAAAAAAATCAGGGAAAATCAGGGAATTTTGTTCCTAAATAATGGTGGCAACCCTGTTTATTGATTCGTTTGTGGAGTTATGTTTTTTTGTATAATAAATGTGTTTCAATAATTTTATTAATAGTAGTTATTGTAAAAAAAAAATCAGGTGGGCCCCGCAAGCATTTGTTAAATTGGGCCCCGCAATTCGTAAGGCCGGCCCTGGTTACAACTAAGTTTACATGGCTAGTTAATATGCTTTTATATATTGCAATTTTTATTAATTTCCAAATTAAACATGTGGCATCCAATATCATAACTAAGATTATACTGGTGTGTTTATATTATTTTAGAATTTTTTGTTTTAGACACATGGCATTTGTTATCCCACTGTAAGTTAAAACTAGTTGTAAAATTAAAAAATTTATATTATTATAAAAGATGTTAAATTTGTATTCAACTTCTTTTTCAATTAACATTCATGTTTATTTATTTATACTTTTTAACTTGCATTTCATTCATGTTTATTTATTTATATCTTAGAATTTGCTGCTTTAGAGGCACTGCATTTGGTGTTACATTGTAGGTTTAAATTGGTTGTAGAATTTATATTGTAACTTGCATATTTATTTAGTTGAATTTATTCTAAGTTTATATCTGATGTGTTTGTTTTATTTTAGAATTTACTGTTTTAGACACGTGGCATGTGGTATCCTACTGTAAGTTTGATTTAGTATATTTAAAAAAAATTTATATTTTAACTTGCATTTCTTTTGACGTTCATGTTTATATAATTAGATTACAACTAAGTTTGTGTATAGCTTGTTTATATTATTTCAGAATTTGCTATTTTAGACACTTGGTATAAGCTGTCATACTGTAAGTTTAAATTGGTTGTAAAATTTATATTGTAACTTGCATTTCTATTGGCGTACATATTTATTTAGTTGAGTTTCAACTATTAATAATTATAATAAGTTTATATCTGGCGTGCTTATATTATTTTAAAATTTACTGTTTTAGACACGTGGCATGTGGTATCCCACTGTAAGTTCGAATTAGTAAATTTAAAAAAATTGTATTTTAACTTGCATTTCTTTTGGCATGCATATTTTTTTAGTTTAGTTAAGAATAAGTTTATATCACACTTTTTTAACTATTATTCTACTATATTCTATATTCAATATTATTTTAGAATTAGCTATTTTAAACATGTGACAAGTGGTTTAAATAAGTTGTAAAATTATTTTTTTTATATAGTTACTAGCGTTTTTTTTGGTCTGCATATTTAATCTTGTTTTGATTTATCATAGTTTTTAAAAGGTTAGAGACTTGATAGGTATTGATGTATGTGAAATGTATAGAGTATTTCAGTTATCAGATAATGTCAAGGTAATCTTATACTTTTTTTTTAATTTACATTTTAATAAAGATATAATTTACTTATACCATTTAACTTTATCTTTAAAAAACGATATCAGAGAAAATTAAAATAACAAAATTTAGAATAGAAATTTATATATAATGAATTACCAAAAATATTTTCTATAGTGCTATCAGTAACAATTCATTTTGGTTCTATACTAGGTATGTTATTAAGTTTCCATATTTTCCTTATTTTATTTTATATTAATCTTTAAGGAGTTGACAGCATGGTGTCCGATTTAAAGTGCGAACCTGTGTACAAGTAACAACAGTATTCAAAACCGAAACCTATTTAAACCAACTAAAACCAAAACTAGCATCCAAAAACAATCTTGGCCTTGGTTTATTTTAAACACCTATATATGTGTTTATATATATGTTTTTTATATAAATGCAGATGTATCTCCACCTTTAAATATAGGTACAATTTTTGCTATTTTTGATTTGTCTGGGACAATTCCGTTTTTGATTGAAGAGCTGAAGATATTAAAAAAAGGCTTTCTTATTACAGAAAAAATTAAAGAGTTAATGATTGTTTTTCTGCCTTTAAGGGACAGTTTGTATTTTTTGCATTGATTTTTTTTTATTTTGTTGAAACGCTCCTTCCAGTATGTTTCGTACTGGAAAATTACGTTATTTGAGAAAAAAATTCCTAAACTTTTAAAAGGCGGGAATGTTTGTCTCCCGCCGGCGGATGTAATGAAAAATAATTGCTCGTTTACTTTAATATAACTAAAATGGTTCGGTGTCTTTAAAGCAAAACTTTTAAGAGTGAAAATTTTGAAAGTGGAAGGTCGGGAAACCGAAAAAATTAAAAGCGAATGGGATTGGTTAAGCGAGAAAATTTTTTTAATAACATTGGTAACATCTTAAATTAAGATGTCTCTTTAAATTAAGACATCTTAAATTAAGATGTTAATAAGACTTAATAACATCTTAATAACATTTTAATAACATTGCTAACATCATTATTTTTATATAAATATAATGAGTTAACCTATTTTTTTTTTTTTTTTACTGAATTGTGTCATCTTAAAGTTGCTACAATCGAAGTTAGTCAATTTCAGAAATAAGTTCATAAAGTTTATACTTTGTAGAATATTGAGTAGGAAAAAATTGAATTGTTAAGAATTTTGCTCTAAAACAAAGCGTAAAAGTTGAGTGTTTATACCAATGATAAGAGGGAAAATTAGTTAATTTCGCATAAAAAGTTTAGTTAGTTAGAAGACTTCTAAAAGAAAACCACTTCTAAGAAGTGGTTTTCTTTTATGTGCCATCATATCGGCCAGTTAAATTTACTGTTTAATTATCTGCAAGGCAAAGTGAATTTTTTAATATTTGTGTTTAAAATAATGTTTATAATTGTTATTGAATTTTTTAATATTTGTGTTTAAAATAATGTTTATAATCAGACATTCACTTTAGAAATATGAATTATAGCTTAGAGCCTGTGTCAAAAATGACTTAAAAATGTTGTATTTAAATATGACTTAATGAAATTATTCATGACAAAAATGGCTTTTATATGGTGCATTCGCCTGAAATTTGACTTATAGTCTATTAATGAAAAATCACAATATAAGTCCTATAATAAAGATACTTATATTGTGACTATTATGTATGGCATTATCTTGATAGATGCTGTTAAACTTAGAATATGTTGCTTCAACTTTTAGGTATTTTGTTTTGTTACAATTTTTTATGATGTTGTTTTGATTTGATTTGTTCTGTAAACAGAAAGCTGTACAGTGTCCTTTTTTTTTCCACTTGTTGAATTTCAGCAATATTTTTGTCAAAGTTCATTTTACAAGAGGTAGTAAAAGATTATTTTATTTTTAACTACTTTCTTATTTTGTAATGTGTTTTTTTTTAGAACAATTCAAGAGTATGATTTAATTAATAACTGTATGAATCTTCTTGGTTGATGTCTAAAAGATTTTTTGAAGGCAGTTCTGCATTTTATTGAAATTTAAAAACATGCCAATATCCCAAAAATTATTCTGCGTAATGTTTTTTGGATTGTTTGCATGTAAAATTAAAAATTCAGTCATTGATTGTGAAAAAGACTAATTGGCTATTAAGTTTAAAAAATTTCAATCGTGATGATTGATTGGTGAGAAACTTATTTACTTTTTATGTTTTAACTACATGATTTGTTAATATTTATGATATGAATTGTTTGTGAGCTCAGTAATACATTTGTATTACTATGTTGTTTTTAAACTAGATAAAATAGTTTTTGAAACAAAAATTACTGCTGGCTATGATTACTGCTATATGTGAATCTAACTTTAGTTTACTTCTTTGGGAATTTTATATCATTTACTAAGTCATTGTGTTGGTAACTTTTTATTACTAAAAAAAGAATTTTGTTACAAAAAAGAAAGTGTAAAATGCATAACATCCCAGCTATTACAATACATTGGGGGAGTTTTCATTGGGAATGCTTTATTTTTAACAAAGTACCTACTGTTAGAAAAAAGATGAAATTTATAGAGCAAAATAACAACTAACAGAAAAATTAATAGATTGTAAATTATGAATAAAAAAACAAACTAAAGCAGGTGAAAAAAAAGTTTCAAAAAAAAATTAGATAAGAATTTTTGGGCACTTAGGAACAGTCATAGTAAAAAGATTAGCCTTTATTGAATGATGAGTAACACAAAAGTGAATTTTAGTAGATGACACAAAAGACACTAACTCTTTAGAGCAGTGTCCATAATAGTATTTATAAAAAATAAAAAGAGAAGCAACATGATAATGTTCTAATGGTTGGAGGTTGACTGCAAGAGCAGGTCAAGGTGCAAAAACAATTCCTTTTTGTACCTTGTCTAAAATAGAAAGGCCATTACAGGAAGATCTGATTTAGATATGGCAAAAGTGTTCCATGCAGGGATGGATTTAAGATTTATAGAGATAAGATATTTATAAATATTTATAGATTGATGTATACTTTGAAATTAAATATTGTATGATTGTATAATATATCATACATTAACATGCTCATACAAATTCCTGTATGACATTCAGTTTATATAATTGTTGCGTTTACGATTTTTGTAATTTAGTTTTAGAAAAGAAGAAAACAATCGTGTATGCTTAAAATTATGTTATTATACAATCATAAGTTGACAATATATTCAAAGACTGAAATTTAGCACAATTGTTTTAAGCAAAAGGTCTTTGCACACTACCAATTTAGCATTTATATTTCAAGAAATGTTTATTGATAAAAGCTTGCTTTAATTTACATAAATAGTAATATTTGTAGATATTATTATCTACTAGATAATAATTTATATTAAAAACTAACCTTTATATGTCTCTTTTTCAAATATGTTGTGCTGATATATTTGCCCTGGCTTTTAGTTTATGACTCAAAATTTAAACATCAATTTTTGAGGTTTAACTATCTTATCATTTCTAAAAGTATCAAGTGTAAACAGTCTAACTCACCATACCTAATCAAAATAAAATGACATTATAAATTTGCATCTTTTTAATTTTATGAATAATTTTTATTTAAACATTAAAACAATCTTTTGCTTGAAATCTAATGCATAAATTTCAAAAAACAAATTAAAATTAAATAATATCAATAAGAAATTATGCAAATCTTTTTTTTTTTATCTATAACTTATTAATTTGTAGTGCAAAAATAATTTTTATGCAAGATTTAATACCTTTTTGACACACTGTAAATTAAGTCTCAGCTAGAACACAAAATAAATAAATATTTATAAACTATATGCATTTAATTCTATTCTAAAACTATATACATAAACTCTAAACTACATACAATAAGTTTTTTTTATTTTTTTAATCTAATAAACTCTAACTGTAACTAAACTCTTAAAAAAGTTCCGGTAAAATTTACACGAACTGTTCAGGCGATTTTTTACGCCTGAAACTTCAGGCGAAACAACTGAATGTTCGATCGATGCGTTTGCCTGAACAGTTCAGGATTAGTTTAGATCAACAGTTACAGTTAATATAAATTATTCCTGAACTTTAGACAAACTGCACGAACCTGTAAAAAACGGAACTTTTAATCTTGACTTTTTGCTTTTTAAAAGAATGTGCTCGGTAATGTTAAAAAATTTAAACACTCATGAGTTGATTAATCATTTGATTTCAAAAGGAATTTCTGTGGAAACAACTGCTAAATTGTCAAGTAAGTATTTACTACATAAAAATTTAGTTTTAAACATTAATGCATAAAACCATAGATATATAAATTATATATCTATGCATAAAACAAATTTAACTAGTTGAAATAACTTTAAAAAATGATATTTTTCATAAACTTACTGTTTAAAGGTGAGGATATTGACGGAGATGCGTTTTTGCAAATGAACTCTGTTTTGTTTCATTGTATTGGAATAAAAATGGGTCAAGCTATAAAGCTTCAGTCTATCATTGCAGCAGAAAAGGTGAATTTAATATTATAATGTACTTTTTTTTAAGGATGTCAATGTGTTGCTACCTTTGCCCTAAAGATTTTTCAACTGTTGCTTTTTACATAAATCACTTGAGGAACTTTCATCTTTTGTTTGAGCCTTGTCAACTTCGTTGTAATGTTGATGGTTGTATAAGATTGTTTACTACATACAATATGCTTAGAAAACATAAATAAAGATCATGCCAGTTTTGTAGTTAATATTGCTCGAACATTTAGCATAAGTTGTGAAAATCCAGTAACACCTACTTCTGAAGCTAAAAGTGAAATTAAAATAGACAAAGAATGTGAGATAAAAATTGATGACGTTGCCTCACCTATTGTTGATAAGTATGGCATATCA